ACTTGTTCGTGAAGAAGAAGGATGCGGTTTCAATGAACGAGCGGCGGGTGTTAAGCTGTATGTGTGGAAGCAGGCACAAAACCCTAAACTGCGGCGCTGCGGCCCGGCTGTAGGGCCTGCAGGCGTAGACAATAGCGTCAGGCTGGAACCGAACTAGGCCCTGGTGGCTGCAAAGGCGTAGGCACATCTCGCCTGGTTCCTTGCAATTTTAAGAATGTCCATAAATCTTTGTATGGTCACCTTTATGTTGCTTTCTCTTGATAATAATGAAGTACGAGATAGGGGTTTTTTATTTTTAAGAAGAGGCCAGTTCTGATTCTCATAACGCCTGTGTAAAAGCTTTTATGTGAGTCCTTGTATCTGACCTTGTCAGCACCAAGATGTGCACAGATGGCACAGCTCAGGAAAAACAGAAAAGCATCGAAGGGGTTAAAGTATAAGAATTAAAGATTGAACCTTGAAATCACCAAAGGTCATGTGATATAGGTTCTCTCTCTCAGGCTCTGTCTGCTTTCAACTAATGAAGGACCTCACTTGAAAAGACTGCAGTTCTGGGGTTGTCACGGAATTTTGGAAGTTCTTAATGGAGATAGTAGTGAAACATTCATCAGAAGGAAGGAGATAACTTGTCCTTTTACATGCTTCTGCAATAGCAAGAAATGTTCAAGTAGTCATGTAACAGGGGTTTTTACTGTTAGATGTCGAGGAGTCCTGAATGCAGAAAGTCAATTGAGATACTCCAAGATGATTTACTTTGTAGCTATGAAAAAAAAAAATAGGTTGCAATTCTGAGATTTTAGCTAGTTATTTTAGATATAATACTAAGTATCGCATTGGATGGGGAAGGACTTTGTTACCTACTGTTTATCAGTATGCTCATCCTGACCAGCTTAATATGTTTGTATTTTCTCCCAGTATGAAGACCTTGTTTGCTTCAGAGATATCAGACCTGGTGCACCCCACCACTATCTGGTGGTACCTGTAGAGCACATGGGAAACTGCAAGACACTTAAGAAAGAACACGTACCTGTAGGTAAGGCTATAAGTACCTGTTAATATGCATTTAACCTGGAGGAAAATAATTTTGTAGTCTTACTCTGTGTTGCTGCAGTGTTTTGTCAAGTAAATCACAACTTTGAACACTATTTAGTTGTGCATGAAAACATTCAATATGAATGGTATGAGTGAGTATAGGCCGAGACTTCCCCTTGCTAGGAACTTCCGTGGCATGTTTATGTTATTCTAGAAGAAATTATTTAATTCTGGGGTGAAATTGTAGGGGATTCATTGTATTAGTACATGTAATCTCTTCTGTTTCCATGGAGCAGAGAAGCTTTTTCGATTTATTTATTTGGACTACTACATCATTTTTCTAAAGTATACTTATACCACTTCATCAGTTTTTTGTACATATATATGCAATCTTAAATTATATATTAAAATTCTATAAAATATATGTATACTATTTTTCATAAAGTGTTACATTATCTTTCAGGAAAGAAGAAAAATGAAAGAGAGAAATGGTGTTCTAGTAAACCTAATTTTTTTTTTAAAAAGATAGACTTCAGGAGTACTGAAATCATGACGTATTGTCGATGAGCTTTTCTTTCTTATTTTAACGTTATCCTGGGATTATATATTTCACAAGAAACGTTTTGTTTAGCTGATGTGTTGAGTATCAGAAAAAAATTGCAGCTGTAAATGCATGAACAGGTTCTACCTTAAGGAAGATTACAGGTGATGCAAGAAAAGAGTTATAGTTGTGTCTTGTATAGTTGTGTGTTGCACCTTCTTGAATCACTGTGTTTCTATTCTAAAAGTAGGGCAGTTTTCTCTAGAAACAGCTTTTGTGTGTATTTGGCTCCAAAACAATTCATTTACACTTTTGCCTTGAAGTTTTTGTCTTAGCATTGCTTCTTTCTTTACTGATACAATAGTGAAAAGTGTGTACTTACTAGTAGGACTGAAGGGTTTTTTTATTACTTTAGTTTAAACTGATGTGCCATCTCTAAAACATTTGAATGTAGAAGTCCTTATTTTTGTGGGCTAACTTTAAAAAGGCTTAAAGAAAAACATCAGGCTGCACAGTACCTGGAGATCAAAATCATATAACTGTGTAGAGATAGTAAACACTGTAATATGTGTAAATTCTGTCATTCTGACCAACTGATGTTTGCAGTTTTTCTGTAAGGCGATACCATGGCTTCAGCCAAAGTTATTAGAATAATACCACACTTAGAAGCTTCATGATTGTCAAAATCAGTGACATTGGTGTTTTTCATGTCGCTTGTAGCACGCTGTCTGGCAATCTTTGTTTGATTATGATTAGCTACAGTATTTGTATTTTATTGTAAAATGCATGAGTTTGTATTCTCATTGTAAGCAGTTCATTGAAGTTAATATTTGAATATTTTGTTTCTGAAGAGTACCTTTTTCAAATTACTTGACCTAAAGACCTATGGTGCATAAAATATTAAATACTAAGTGAATTTTTTTTTTTGTATTTAACAGTGAAGAAAATGATGGAAGTGGGAAAATCTGTCCTCCAACGAAATAATTTTAGTGACTTGAATGATGTAAGGTATGTAAAGGAAGCCATCTGTGGATATGGAATATGATCTTTCTTCTATGTATACTGAATATATTCTTGACTTTCCAAAATGGTATTTTAGAGATACTGGCAACACCTGCAGTATGATTTATTGAAGAAAGGGGGATTAGAGTCACTTATTGCATGACTTCTCAAGCAAAATGTGCTGGCATTGGATATAAACTTTTTTTTCTGATGAATTTTTACTGCAAATTTCCTTGCAACTCTGAGATTCTTTCTTGCCCACGTGTTGAGGAAAGGATGGTATTTCAAACAAAATATCTAAAAGCCTGCTCTTTAATTATATGCTGAAAGTGTGCTCCAAAGTTATAGACAGCAGAAGAGATGTAAACTTTGTCCTGTTTGAGCAGGGCATTGCGTTGTATTTCAGAGACAAATCTGCATTGGTTTGATTGCAGTGCTGCTCCCTATAGTTTAAGCCAGTGTATTTAGTAACTAAACTATTTCTAAACTCATTTGCAAAGTGAAGTGAATTGAAGCATAATTTAAATATAGTATAGGAAGATGGGCCATCCTAGTTAAAATAGGTAGAAGCTACTTTTATCTAAGTGACGGTTGACTTTCTAGTGAAAACTAGGTATGATACATTTAAGGTATATTGTACTTTTTTAAAAAGTCCTTTTTTTAAATTATATTTTCAGTACTGAGATGTGAAGGAAGAGATTAGTGGACTTTAGGAAGATGTCTTGAGGGTATGATTAAAGTAAAGAACATACTTTTGTTTATGCCCTTATGTAAAATGTAAATGAGTAAAATGTAATCAAGCTGACATACCAGGCTAAAAGCTAAGCACTTAACTCAGTTGATCATGGTAAATAACTTATGATGTTCAGCAGCTTCTTTCTGAACTAATATAAATATTTTAACTTGTTCGTTTTCCTTTTCTGAAGAATGGGTTTTCACTGGCCTCCATTCTGCTCAATATCCCACTTGCATCTTCATGTCTTGGCTCCAGCCAGTCAGCTAGGATTCTTATCCAGACTGATTTACAGAATCAATTCCTACTGGTTTATCACGGTAAGTTTAATGCAGATAAGTCGGTAACTTTTCAGTTGCAAGCTGAAAACGTGGTATCTTTCTAAGAGTTCAGCTATGTGCAAAAATTCTTGGCGCAATTATTTTGGTCATTGCTATAATTAATTTTGTATATTTTTGCACTAACTATTTGAGAAAACATAATGGTAAAATTTAATTGTACTGTTTACGCTTATTAAAGAAAATAGAGTGACAATAACATTAACAGCGAACAGTTCTGTAACTTTGAATCTAATGTGTAGCTTATGTTAACGTGCTGGACTTCTGAGTATACTTTATAAGTATTTGATATTTAATGTGAAAAAGGTTATATTGGAACATAATGGGATAGGTATTGTGTACACCTTGATTAATCCAACTTAGATGAAAAACATGGCCACATAATGGCTGCTTACATCAATTCACGTGAAGCTTTTCTCATCTTACTGTGTTTAGACTGCAGCAAGCCTCTGCTTTACAAAAGCATTTTGTTAGCACTGGTATCTGTCAGTAGAGATTAGAAGTGAGACTGAACTGGCACAAACTGACTAAATTACTATTTAAAAAGTTTCCTCTCCTTTGAGGATCCATACTTGCTCTCACTGCTTAGCTGAAAAAGCAAAGAACCTATCCTCGCGATGCAGCTACAGCACCCTGGTGTCATTGGACAGCCCCAAAACAAATATGCTGAAAGAGAGGTCTGTTTCATCTCAAGAAGAATCTAGAGCCTCTTAGTTCAAAAAAAAAAAAAAAGGGGGGGAGGGCAAGCTTCTTGGTGGCACCTTGTTGGAGGTCTCACCTAGGTCTGAACAAGCAGATGTGTCTACATTGTACAGCATCACACAGAGATATTTGGCCCTTAGATAAGTATAGCTGTGTAGTTAAACTGTTTTGGGTTATTCAGGGATATCTATACCAAGTTTGGGTATACAATATAGAAGTACTTCAAGAGATATTTTACAAAACCTTTTTAACAAGTTGGAAAATGTTCTTGGATTTTTTTGTTATTTTTAATGACTTGAATGTGGTATTTGTTTAAGAATGCAAAGCAAGGTTCAGCTAATAGCTTTTCAATACCTTTATTTTTTTATCTAGCTTTATTTCCAAATAAACTGCAAGAGCTACTTACCTCTATTAAATTGTTCCTACTTTGAAGTAGCTGATTGTGTATCTGCTGTGTGTATTAAAAAATACTAGATTTAAGGTTCTCACCTTTTAACTTGGTTCCTTTGGAGATCTTAGTAAAACCTCAAGCACTAGTTCAAGTGTAAAGATTAATTCAATGAGACTTGACAAAAAAGGTTGACAGTAATTTAAACTGATTTATTTCAGAAATGCCCAAGTTAGCGCCCATATGCTGGATTTAGCCTGCCAGAACAATGCCTTCTTTCTACCCTGAGCCTTTGTGAGGTCTCTCTTGGCTGGTACTGTCCTATGTACAAAATATAACTGTCCCAGTTACATTTCTCATCATATGGCTATTTATGCATCCACCATGTATGTGTGGGCATGGTCACGTAACCAAAGAATGGATGTCTATCTAATGACATGATCCACATATATGAATACGCTCCCTCTCTCACGAATCTGAATTGGTTATGTGACTTGTGTGAGAAGAGGCCACAATTCCAGAGGTTCTGGAACGTCTCCTGAAGAGCTCCTCCAGTTCTCATAACTCAGTTGGTCTGACCACTGCTGTCTTCCAAGGTTAAAATCGTGCTGCTTGATTTACTATTTTTTTGCTCAAACATACTCCAGCTTTCAGTTTCTTTTTCCTTTTCAGATCAGCTAATAGGAGTTTGATAGAAATGGTGAAAAAGAGTCTGCCATTTAAGACAGTCATTTTATTTTACTTCTGTTGTACACTTCATCTGTGTAAAATGAAAAGTATATGCTTTGTGCATCCCTGTCACTGGTGTTTTTTAAACCAGAATTTTCAGTAAACTCATTCTTGTGTAGTTAATGCATTGCTTGCTTTTTTCATAGGCTGAACAGCTGATTGAACGACTGCAAACTGAAAATGCTGCCAGTTGAAAGCACATCCAGCTCTGTGTCAAAAAAGAATTTGATTGTCTTTGAGCTCTGATTTAAGGTTGCACAGTTTGATGTTACTAATAATATACCAGGATGAAAAAGCTTTAATTCCTTATGAAGAAATACATACAGAATTTGTAACTGTCATCCTAATTCTTGCAGTCTGTATACTTAAGAAGTCCATGTACTTCTCTGACAGTGAGGCAATGTATTTTAATGATAATTTTTTATTTATATATTTGTAGTATACATACATGTATATATACACACATGCATATATATATATATACACACACACACACACACACACACTTGCAGACTACTTTTCCTAGTAAAATGCAGAGTGCGGCAGCAGAATGTATTTGTAACTAAGAAAACAACAGTTACTACTAACAGCATGTATGTGATACCAAAGGGAATGTTTCATGTGGAATCTAGACTTTTATTTTAAAAATATATTGTTCTGGGATTGCAAGTAACGTTTAAAACTTTAAAGTTTCCATCTGTACTCTGTTAGTTATGCCTAGTTATTAGTAAGTACATTGCTAAAGTGCACTACTAATTTTTCTGGTGCTAAACCACTTTAATATATTAGCTGTCTTATTTGCATGACAGTGATGTAGTAAATGTTAATACAATATGTGCCCGAGATGTGTTGATGCTATACGATATAGAATATAATTTAAATGTATGTATAATTGTTTGTATGTTGGACTTAAAAGACTGTTTCCCTCTTATGTGCACAATATTTTAAATTAGCTACTGTATGTTTACAAAGAATGTGAAGAGTTCAGAGGAATTGATTTAATGTACTGGTCTTCTGCATGACAATAGAAGAGAAAATCAAATTTTGAGATTATGCTCTTAATGTTCTTACTGGAAGTTGCTTGGAGTGTACTCATGTCTTGGCTAAATTTGATTTCTAAATGAAGTCACAAGAGAAATGGGTCTTTAGTGCAGTGACTATGTGGCAGGCTTGCATAATAGCAATCTGATTTGAACTCTGCCCCAAACTGGAACTTGTACGAATTGTGTTCTGAATTGTTTAAGGAACCTGCTAACACTTGCTTTTACTGTATGATTCTAACTAGTAATGTTAATGCTCTGTTTTTTCAACACCATATTAAGGCAGACTGTTTGCAAAGCAGAAATTCCAGAAAACACAGGGTGGATTTTATTCGTTCACAGAGTGTATCTCTTGGTGCCTAACTAATAAAGTGTCCTTGGCTGATACTTTTAGATGCAGATAAGGTGATGATGGTCTGCTGTACCTGCAAACTTCCCTGAAGATAATCTTCTCAGTGTTTTCCACTGATCCAGCACCTGTTGCCTTAGTGGTACAATGTATTGTAACATTCATACAGTAAACTGTACATAATATTTCAGAAAGTTCACATCATTCTAAACAGCAACATTTTATACCCAGAAGTTTACAGCTCTCTTTTCCATAAGACCTTGTTCCTAATGGTTCTGGTATTCTTATTAGCGGACACTCACATGTAATTTGCAGTACTTTGTGGTTTTGATTTGTAACTTTTAACTAGGAAGAGTGTGAATTAAATCCACTGAACTTTGACTAATTCTGTGCAATAGATTAGGAGGTATGAATTGGCTCCTACATTTATGAAGTATTTGAACATTAAGATCTTTCAAGAGTTAATACTATGTATGTGTGTTCTGATTTGTAGTTAATGTATGTAACTGTACGTAACTGTGATATGTAGTATTTAAGGTACCATAATGAACTGTTGTCAGAAAGGATTAATAAAGAGCAAATACGAATCTTGGGATCTTACAATAGTTGTCAAATGTAAATAGAAGGAAACATAAAGGTCAATTTTTAGATGTTTTAGCTTTATTTTGCACTTCCACTGAAGTGCAAAAACAAGCTAATTTTGGTATGTTGATGCCATTAAAATAATAATAGCATGGGAGGTGCTGGGTATTAAGTGTAGGGTCCAGCAGTAGCTTAGTATGATTTTACTGAGGGTGAGAAGGAGTTACGCACATTCCTTGTTTTCTGTGTGCGTTGGGCTCCTCTGGCTAAAATCAATTACATTTCAACTCCTTTTAGCTCTGAAGGACTGCTGCATATAAACAAAGGTGAGGTATAGCTCTGCCTTGTATACTATTACTTTCATAAATTTGTTACATTTGAGACAGGTCCACTAATGACTGTAAAGGTAAGATCAGGACATAATCTAGCTTCCACAATTTTTGTTGATGAACAAGGTGAAAAGCATTCAACTTGTCTCTTACACTAGCAGACAGTCCTCAAACCAGCTCAAATAGGAAAGCGTAATTATAAATGGAGCCATGTTAATTACTGAGACGAACAGTAGTACTCGACATCTCATTAGTGCTTTCCAGCGAAGCACTGCACTGCATTCCATTTCCCTTCTGTATTGACAAGTGTTCTTCCTGACCCACCCTAAAGTCTTTTTTTTTTTTTTTTTTAGTTAGAAAAAGGAATATTTTCTGAAAGTTCTGTTCTAAAACTTTGGGGTATGTTTGAGAATTGTTGGCTACCCTTTGGAAAAGGCAGTCAGCAGAATCCATTAATGATGTCTGCCCTCTATTACAGCAGCCTTATAATACGATTTTAAAACTTCCAACATCTTTTCTGGAGCATTCCAGTGGACAAAGGTAGTTAAAAGACTTTTTCTTGGAGAGTAAACTTACTGCCTCTCAGCAGTTTTTATTCTTGGATGCGTGTAAGAGCCTGAGAAGCAGAGAAAAGTTGCTTAGCCACTACCCATGGGTCTGTTGTTCTTTGATCCCGTATTAGCAGTCCTGAGAAAAGCAGCTTTTTTGACTACATGTTCAAGGTTTATTTGTACTCTTTTGCCCAATTGTTTTACATAAAGTACCAACCTAATGCAAGTCCAGAGAATACTGCTTTTATGGTGAGGTACCGCTTGCCCCTTTTTGAAAGAATGAAAAAGATAACACATGAAATGCTGTTAAATGTTTAAAAAAAAAGAAAAAAAAAAAGCAACTTCAGGCATTTAACTAAGAATAGCATTTTCAGTGTGATTAAGTTGGTAACAGATCTTCAGGCTATTCAGAAGTCTACTTAAGCATGAGTAACAAATGACAGCAAAAAATGGGAGCACAAACTGATGAAAATCGTATTTGAAATTTGTCATAGTAGGAAACAGTAAAACCCTGCATAAAAAAAATCACTTGCTTCATGTCAAACTGATGTGCAATATTTATTGAAGTGCTGAAAGCATTTTCAGTGTTTCACAAGACAAAATTCAGATAATTCCCGTACAATTCATAGAGTCTAAAACTGATGTAGAATAGACAAGCTTCAACTGAAAGAAGAGGAACGACTACTGACGGAGCTGATAAGCTTCCTATAAATTTAGGAGAGATTTGAAGAGCTGAAAGTGTCTTGATGTGGCAATAACACCTTTTAGAAGGTCAAAGTTTACTTACTACTACAAATAATCTGTAGTACTAACACAAACTCACGTCTTAACACTTCTCATGAAAATGATGTATTAGATTAGCTGTTCCATTTACTTTAATAGTGGACCACTGCATAAAGCTTTAAAAACTGATTTATCTCCAGTTGCCAATGTCTTTTCTACATTGCAGATGACAAAGCAGAATTTTCCCTAGCTTGCAAGCTAGGAGCTAAGTCCAGTCTTGTCCACTAGATATGATGTATACCTGACTGTACAGGCTTCGGGAGTAATTTTTATTTTTGAGTGTCCCAGTGGACAGACTGATCAATTGCACTTATCCTTTAGACTTCTTTTGGAATAACAGCTACTGCTGAAAGCAGCAGATTTGTCAACCTGTAAATTGACCCAATTTGGCAACTTTCTGGTATTTATGATAGTTGTATGGATATGCATGACAGAAAGATAGCATTTACTCTTTACAGAATCCTCAGCTATAGCTGGCGATAGGAAATTTGGCCCTGTGATGATTTTTTAAAAAATCTATCCCTAAATAAATCATCCTTCTGGTAATAATTCTTGGACTTACCCAAAATATGATAGGCAAGCTTTTAACAGTGGCTTACAAAGTTGGTATGACCATTTCATTAGGACTTACTCTGCTTTTCTGTGTTTTGATACTAATCAGAGGTATGTTTACAGCTCTTGCACATGGACCCCAGTTATTTTTACAGCTATTGTAGAGGCACCCAGCAGTAGCTGGAGCAAGTGCAGCAGGGACTCTATAAGTACCTAACATCATTGACTATGCCCATGGCAGTTTAAGCCCAGATTCCCGTGGTTTAACTCTCTGAGCCAGTTTTAAATAAGAACTTGTAGGTCTGCAGGAGCTGCACTTGCATCTTAGTTGAGGCAGTGTGCAGCCTGAGCCTCCTATGTGCTTTCTGAGAATAAAGTATTATTTTTCCTGAGGCTGTTGTCCTGTTAGTGATACGTGAACTACCTGATACTACTTCCTGCAAGTTATGAACTAGTGTTACAGCAGAATCACCTGGATCTATAATTAAGATAAAATTAAACGAACCACATCTTGTAACTTTATCGTAACAATCTTGAGATTGATTTTAAAATCTTTATACAAAGTGTGCCCAGGCTTTATCTAGTGGGAACTGAAATCCGCTGGGGCGTGCTCATGTCGTTTTGGCAAGAAATAGATTTTTTTGAAAAACACAGCATTTTAAATGTGTTAAACGCAGTCTCTGGTGTAGCACGTATCTCCCAGTTTCCAACATGGTAAAATTATGTGATGATAAAACCCATCCTTTGTTTCCCTTTCCATGCTATATCTGGCTTCTCTGTCCCTCAGATATGCTTGCTTTGGCACCTTCTTTTCTCCTCTATTTCCTCTTCTTCTGATTACCTTTTCACTAGGAAAAGGAGACAAAGGGATAATATAAACTATATTTTTATTTGTTCAATCAAAAAAAAAGCGTTTAGATGCAAGTCTCTGATGAAAACATGAACAATTTTTTTTAGGCTTTTTGCAAAAAAAAAAGTCTTTTATATAATTACTATTCAATAATTTAATCACATTTACCATGTTTGTAATTTATATTAAGTCTCCACATCCTTTTGAGGCAATAGAATACTCTTATTTTAAAAACCCATTAAGTAATATAGTTAACACCACAGAATAGCTTTCATTTAAGCCGGTAAAAAATAGAATTTGCTATTCCCAATGGATACAGATTTCTTGGTGGGAACTATTGTAAACACAGCTCCTGAATATTTCTAATGGCATTATTACAATTGTTGCATATAACCAGTCCTTTTTTTTTTTTTTTTTTTTAAGTTGACAACGTTTCCCCTGAAGAATCAGGAAATTTTTAAATAGCAGCTCATTTTTTTCTCCTGGTTTGGAGAACTTAAAACTGTGCACTGGAAGCACAACTCTGCCTGACCAAGTGAGACTTGTGACTTCAGTGCTATACTTTTATTTATGCATTTGGCATCCAGGCTCTCTACTCTCCTGTTGTAAACAACATTGCTACATTGTGTTAAGAAGTGAAAGATGTTTTTTTTTTTTTCTTTTCACCAACATACAGTGCTCCAGTATACAGTTTCTGTTCTATTTCACATCTCTTTGTTGTGGCACCTTACTTTCTAAGAAGAAATATAGTCAAATTCCCGCAAAAGGCTGCAAGGCTTTCTCAACTTCTATGGGTTGAGGTAGTGTTAGAAGCATAGAACAGGTAAAAAACGGTGCAAGATACAAAAAGGAAAAAGAACAAGAGACACCGTAAAGCTTTGGAGAAGATATGATGATAAGAATAGACTATTAAATACCAGGACTAGTGCAGCTCTACAGAATACATGAAAGATGCAGCTAATTTGGGAACCATGAAATATCCTTGCTGTATATTCTGTAGATCCTTAAGCAAGCGATATTTCTGTAAACTTGGGAATTTTCATAGACTTCCTGAAAGTCAGCATAACTTCCATTTATTTAACTTCACCATGTGAAAATAATTACACTTTTGCTATAGATCAAGCTCTTTTTTGAAGAAGTATATGAATTCCTACAGAAGTATTTATTTAAATTCTGTGTTTTACCATTAAAATCCTCCACACAGTGAGAATTTCACAGCCTGCAAGAATCAGTGTTGTACGGTAGCAAATCACTAATTTAAACTTCCGGCTACCTAAAGTAATAAGCCAGCAGAGATATTTAAAGACCATATGCAATGGATGATAAAAATGAAAGGACAATCCATTGACAGAGTGATAGATTAGTTGACTATTTGTGATTTCTGTCCACAATATCTACCATTTTTATGAAAATATCTTTCATCCTTCTTACCAATTTTCTCTTCTGCTCATGTTCCATTAATTAGCAGAGTTGAAATTCTGTAATGAAAACCTCTTTCAAGATGGTATCATGATATGCTCTTTCCAAATGGAAACATGCAGCAGAATTTATCAGATGACAAAGCCTTATTCTAGTAAAGTGATGATCACATCATCATCTTTTCCTTGCCAAAGCATTTCACCTTCAAAATGAACCAGACCGTGTTTTCTGGCTCTCAGCAAGATCCCCACTACTTTATTGGAAATAGTCACGTATGTTTCAAACAGCTGCCGGAATGTCACACTCACATGTCCATCTTCTCCCTTCTCTCCAGTGCTTCTTATGATCAAGCACAGCTCTTCTACTTCCTTCCCCACATGTGAGTGGGCATCTTTCCCTCTCTGCTCTGTTTTAGACCCTTCAGGGGGTCTCCCATAGGCAGGATCTCCTCTGTGGGTATGCACAGGTTTAGATGCAAGCCTCTCATCGTTGCTGAATGGATTCTTTCTCTGATACTCAATCTGATCCTCTGCCCAGGTCTGCCAACTTTTCCTCAGGTCACCCACTGCACTGGTAGTTTTAACACTCTGCCCTTTATCTTCCTCCATTTCTTAAAAATGTTTTATGGCACTCAAACAGGAAGCAAATCAATGATTGTAAGTATGGTAGTTGTGTGCACTGTCAGCTCTGAAGGAGGGAAAAAAAAAAAAAAAGAAAGATCAGCCTTTATACAAGAAAAAACTTCTAATAATTTCTGTAAGTTTTTCCTGAGTGAGAGGCTAGGCTACTGAAAGAGACATTAAATAGCTGAACATTTTGTTAAGCCCGCTCACAGTTCTGCAGCAGTCAAGAAAGTAAAAGGGATTCAGCTAAACTTCTGAAGTCATTTAAGTAATATATGTCACTAAGTTAAACTTGCAAGCTTCCAAGGCATATAATTCCCCCCAGTTCTCAGACACAGACCTACAATACAAGCCATGTAGCCTTTGTACATAAATGTAGTGTGATATTTACTTACTTTTCATGCAATGACGCCTTTTAAAGAACTTTATCCTTCTATTTTGCAGCCCAGTACACTTCTCAGATAATCTCATCCAGTGTTGGTTGACCTGTTCAGTACAGGCTAAATGACAAGCGAGAGCAAACCACTCCTCAAGAGCCAGAGCACCAATCCACAGAGAGGGGTGGGCATCTTTTCTCCTGCCTGTGCACTTATTAAAGGTGGACAAAACAAAGCTATGCTCACAAGGTTCCCACAGATTATGGTAGTTATTATATACCAAAAGCATTACCTTTGAGCGGCAACAGCAATATGCAGGAGAAACATAAGAATTTTGCTCATCGAACTTTGAAAAAAGAATTCCAGTTAATTACTGTGGTTCCATCTACAACATCGTGTTTAGTAAAGAGCACAAAACCAGAACAGATAGTTCTCCCTTAAAAGGCTGTGCTGCACAGCAACGTCTGCCTAGTAAAACCTACACTGCAGGCATTGCAGACAAAGAAGTTTGCATGGGAGAGATGAAAATGTCAATGTCATTCAGGTAAACAGGTTACCCTCTATCTATAAAACAAAATGTACACAGAATATGGACTGTAGTTGCAGAATGTAATTATTTGGAGGAATTAGGGAGAGACTGTTATGTACATATAGAGATTTGATTGTGTTATGACCACATCTTTTCTAGATCATATATACTTCAGCTGTTAAAACTGTACAAACTAGATTTTCCATATAACGCATTACTAACACTGATATTTTTCATACGGATATCTGTAGATAAAATAGAGCATTACTGCAGGCTTTTCTATGGGAGAGGGGAGGAGACAGAAATACGGATAACTGAATTACATATTGTACATTTCTAGATTTTAAGTTATTTTGTTTAAAAATAAGGTTTCACTAGTGTTATGGTCCATATATAAATTTTAATGCTGCTACATATGAACTCCATTAACACAGAGCAGTCACAGAGTTCCCAAAATCCCCCAGCTTAACGTGCAAGTCACAGTCAAAAAAAGCTTTTGTTGTGTTTAGCTCTAAAATAGTGCACAGGGTGGGCAGAAGACAGCGACACAATGGCTGTGAAAGAGAACTGAGAAAGATAAACAACAGCACGCATTAAATAATGGCTTTTCATTCAGTCTTTCAGTACTTTTAAACTGAAACTCATGATCATCACATGATCCTGTTATATTTGTCGTGAGAGAAGGGTGGTTAATTCTAGATTCCTGGATAAATTCCAATTAGAGTAATTATATTTGGCGCACTCAAAATTCCCCTGAAGGCTAAAAAGGATAGATTGTTCTTCCTTTCCCTCCCTAAAACAGTTATGTAATGTCGTTGACTTCAGGTGACTACCAAATTCCACTCTAAAAAAACTGCTACAGTGTTACTGAAAATAATCTCATTATGTTTGTAAAGTTTATATATATATATACAGAGTTTGAAAAGCACTTTGGTTTTATGTCAGGATCAAATATACTGTAACTCTGACTTATCAATATACATGCATTTTTAAACATGCTGAGCAACGCGCTCCTTATAGAGACTCAGGTAACAGATCTTGCACAGGTCCTCAATTTGAAAGCATGAAAACAAACAGTATTCACCTTTTGAGAAGAGACAGCAACCCAGTATGCAGATAAAGTAAGAGAATGTCAGCCCCAAAGAGATTCTGCTTAAACAAGTACCAATAACTAGTCAGAAGTTTCTAGAATGGAAGCTGTACAGCTAGGACATTTAAAGCAAGACAGACTGCAAAAATAAAAGCAGTCATCTTCCACTAAATCTCTTTTTGAAATTCCAAGATTTGGTAAACCATCCTAGACTAGCTGCATTTGTCAGCAGTTTAACAATGTGTTTATTACTAGGTTTCAGCATTACACTGCTGAGATGAAGAAGATCAATCCACATCTTTTCTCTCTCTCCAAGGACTACCTAGGACAGTCACATTTAGGTGTTAGGTTCAAATTTAGATTGTTTTCTTATCAATCACCAGGGCTAAAGCTTCACAGCAAACTTCAATTTTGAATACTACAGGCAAAGATCAGAAAACTAGAGAAGCTCTAGTATGAGATTATGGAGACAGATAATGAACGTGGCCTCTTACAGGTCATGAGCAAAATCTTAACCTTCTAGAAAAAAAGCTATCCTAAATCAGCACAGAAACTGAAAAAATGTGAGTTAAGTGCTGAGCTGGCCTGGTTCTAATAAAAGGCTTACTGAAATCTGGATAAGCTGAACCTTTCAGATCAACATAGCAGGGGGATCAGTGAGTAGAGGATTTTAGTTATCAAGCCTAGTTTTTAATAAAATAAAACACAACAAAAACTAATCTGCAATACAAAAAACGTTATTTTCCTTTCTGTTGGATAGTCACATCTCTATCCTGTGACTTTCCTGAGAATCTTTCTCTTCTCTATTTGCTTTTGCACCCGTGCCACAGCTATCAACCTCCCTCCCATGGAAAAATGAATGTGACTCCTTTGGTGTCTATTAATTGTTAATGTTATCCAACTATCTGCTCTATTGATGCCAACAAGGGAATGTTATTGCTGCACAACCAGAACGGCATGTCAAAAACCAAGAAGATACTTCTAGGCCATTACCAGTCACTAGAATTATTTGATAACATTTGTATTTAGAGCTATGCGAAAGTATGATACTGAACAAGGAATTTAAAAGGTCTTTTCTGCTAAAAAGGCTTGATAGGCGTATTTACACCAACAGAAACACTCCCAGAAAAAGGCCATGAGAGCCAGAAAGCCCAGAGGAAAATGCCCCAACATAAGCGTGAGGTGCGAGACAGCTGCGTCCTCCAAGGATGTGAAAGTGGGGCAGAAGCAGAAGCCACCTCCTCTCCCTGACAGCACAGAGCCCTGCTTTGCTCACATAGAGATCACCCCTCAGGCCCCTGTGGGCTCTGAGAGCCCCTTCCTTCTTCTGCCAGGAAAGAAACTGATAGGCAAACCCCACTGGGACCAGCCTTCCCAGCCCCAGGAGCCAGCGTTACTGCCACTACAGCGGCCTCCTGCTGCCAGAGCCAGGGGAGGGGTGAGGGCAGAGGGAAGGGAGACGGGCCGCTCGCCCACAGAGGCTGGCAGTGACTGCAGCATGTCCCAGGCCACCACCGCAGCTGCGCCTGGGGACAGCCCCGCGTTGGTATCTCCCACCAGCAGCTTGCCCAGCACATTTCCCATGCAGTCCTGTCACCGTGGCCTGCTCCATGGCAGCGCTCGACTCCAAACCTCCCCGCTGTAGGTAACTGACATTTCCTCCTCCCAGCACACTTCACACACGAACAAACAGCCTGGCAGCACAACGTGGTGCGCGGGGCAAGATTTCACACCTAGCCTTCCCGCCTGGTTCCTCTGAAGCAGGCAGAGGGGCTGCAGGCCAGGAAAAGAGGGGGCAGCTGGGTGAATGGGCTTTACTAGCATTAGGGTTAAAGAGATGGCTCTGGATATGCATGCTCGCTCCGGTT